GTACGATTGATACAAGCCTATTGTATCATGAAGATTGAAATGGGGATTGGGGGCGCGCTTTGCGTACCCAAAAGTTTTTCAGCACAGAAGCCCTTATTTTTTTGAATCCCCCCCCAAATGGGCATTTTTGCATTTAAAATGTGCCTTGAGACACCTTTTGCCATTCCGAAATTGACATATGAGAACCCAGCAACGGATATTCAAGGGCAGGGTGGCGTTAGAAATAATTGTCAAAGAGATAAGCGGTAGGTAATGACGGACACGGTCAAGGAGAATTTACAAATTGCGGAAAAATACATTAAAAATTTTCGAAACTTACGGAAACATGCAGAATTTTTGTCTCTGTTTCAGTGAAACTTATCCTCAGGCCATAAATTATTAAATACCTTGGGCGCATATTACCGATTGGAACTCACTGGCAATGCAAAATTCAAAATTTCCGATACCGCGATACTAGTTACCGGGAGGGGAACCAAGTATACTACCCTACCGGAAACACCGGAAACTACCAAGAAATTGTAACCGGAAAACGCCGAAAAATGACAAGGAAAGAACAGAAAATATCAGGCGGTGTCGGAAAACACCAGAAAACCTACTGGGAAATGCTGTAACCAGTTGTCGAGCAGAGGGCGAGCATCTGCACAGCTACCGGTCAACATATTGAAGTTAAAGGGTGCGGTGAATTAATTCAGGCCGCGCCCATATGGCGTGCATGCAAAGCATAATCCGCGTATACAAATTTGTCTATTCTTAGTAGAGATATCTCTATTAGGAACAGAGATATCTCTTTAGGAATAGAGATATATCTATCAAGTTAGGAATAGAGATATCTCTATTAGGAATAAACAGGTGTCTCTGTTATGAATAGACAGATATCTCTATTAGGAATAGAGATATCTATTTTAGGAATAGAGATATCTCTATTAGGAATAGACAGATATCTCTATATTAGGAATAGAGATATTACTAGTAGAAATAGAGATATCTGTATTCCGGGATTAAATGTTATCTTTGCAAGCCATACCCATGCGAAGCTGCTAACCTACGAGTTTCAGTGCTAGCCAAGTGAATCGCACACGGCCTATTTTCATCTGATGTGAACTGGAGGGCACCCTACCACAACACATGAATTATTATTTCTCATTACGGATTTGCAGCTGGGAGTATTAATGTTAATTTGGATTTTTTTTGCCCTGCCCAACGTGTATTGCAACACTGTTTACTCAGTGGGTGTGGCACTGGCACAGCCCTCACATGAGCAAGAATATTATGCATTTTTTTAAAAATAAAAATCACCAAATACTGTACATGTATATAGTTTGAGCAAAGCAAGAAGAACAAGTCTTATACATTTCCCGCAGTTTGTAGTAAAGCGGGAAATTATTGTCCTGTAAATTTGAATAACACCAAGCGTAAAGGTTCTGATTGGTCAATAAGAAGGTGCACTTATGTAATCAGGAATGTCAGGATGAAAGGTTTAACGGGGGTCAATTTTGTAAATGGTCAGTGGTTATATGTGCCATTAACCTACAACAACATAGATGGTCAGTTCTGGCGAGCACACCCATAAACGCGCGTTCAAATCGGCACAATGGAATTGTTGATAAAATTATTAGGTGAAGTCCAACAATAGCACGGGAAGAGCGCTGACAGTTTTTGGACACAAGTTTCCCGAGCATTTTTGAAATTTGTTATCTCTCATTTGTCTTGGACGTCGTGGTCTCCAATGAAGTGATTCGAAAATATAGAAAATGACGTGTGATGCAGTAGAAGTAAATAGGGTGCATGGTTTTGCTCAATAAACGGTACTAGGCCTATATATTGTGTTTAAAATCCAAGATAGCACAAGAGAGAAACTGCAGCTGTCCATATTGTATTAAGACTGGGGTATATAGACAGGAGTACAAACGAAAATTTCCTTATGGATTCTATTTCGAGAAAGTTTCCTACGATTTATTTTACACTGAGCCGTTGATGTAATTTTTCCGTTCTGGAATTTGAGACATCTTGTATAGAGTATAAACATGTCATAATTGGAAATCATGCTGAAAGAATAGAAGGAAAGAAACGAGCGTCAATTCTTGTGCTGCTCTATCGCCAAAATTAAGAAAGATGAGTTTAGTGTTTTATAGTGTAAGGAGAGAGAAGATGGGCAATTACGTGCATACAGGCATCCCTGAACATGCTCTGGCAGCCCCCTATTCAAAAAGTACTGAGTCAACACGTTTTGGTTACGCAGTTTTCTCTTGCAGTACAATGGGAAAATTTTGGTGCCATTTTTATAGATTATACCTGAAAGTAAATAGACATAAATAATATTCAAAAATTGCCCATTGTAAATAGCCTTTAACAAGGCGGGGCAACAGTTACAGCCTAATACCATGTACTGCAGTTGCATAAGTCTGGGCTAGAAATGGGGGTGGGGGAGGGAAAGGTGGGGGATGTCTTGCCTGGCAATGGAAATTTGAAAAGGGGCGGGGACTACACAATATACACTGTACAGGGGCGATGTTCATGATAAAGATGTACATCTGTAATTTGTACTAAATTCACGCAGAATCGCATATACGGCTTTATAAAATGGTTCTCCTTTTAGTAATGTTGCAAATATCTTAGTTTTTTGAAATCCTAAAAAGTCTTCACAATCCGATTAATTTCTTATTTTTTTCGCTCATGACAAAAATGTGTAGGGGATTCAATAGCCCCCCAATAGTGGGGGGGGGTATACACCCCACCCCCGGGATTTACGCCCCTGGTGTACTACATTGGTAGGGGGAGATCACTGTCAGTGTATTCAGGCCCCACGTATAGGCCGCAAACCGTATAGGCTAGCCTAACTTAAATATGTCCCATCAATGTGTAGGACATATTACTTCTTACAAAAGCGATGTCCATCCCAAGAGCCTGCCCTCCAATTAGTCCTCTGCTTCAGGTTTTTTTTCTTCTCAGTTCTCTTTTTTCACCTCTCCCCATTTTTAACATGTAGGAGGTCAGTGGTTGATGCAGGATTACTTATCTCATTCATCCTCTCATACCAAGAGAAAAATGCCACACCTCCCAACACTTTAAATTCACTTAGAGATTTATGGTACTTGTTCAGTTAAGTCAATTTAAGGGGCGGGGCTAGTGCCTCTAATGGGGCTTAATGGATCGGCCTATTAATGGTTGATGCCCGATGGTCTCAGAACTCCCCCCCCTTGAAAATCGTTCCACCGCCGTTGATTCTGTTCCCTTTTCATTTTTTTCCTGCGTCCACTGACCACATTTAGTCTGAGTGTCACCCGTTGTACTTCGTGCAAGCTTTGCATACGAGCGCGTGTCTTTTATAACAGATACGCCAAGCTTGGCGCAAGTGTTGACGCCCTGAACAGTTGGACCAGCATAAGCAAGACACGTGTACCTGTTCCAATTTTTAAAATTACATTAAAACTGCGTAGACGAGTGAATGAATTAAGAGAAATGAATTACCTTTCGTTAAAGTTTACAATAATTACCTGATAATCTTTTGTCAACAAATCTAAGAACATAAAGTAGCCTACATTTAAAAACTTTTAGCGTGATTAATCAATTTTTGGCTGGACAAGGTTTCTGTACTGTCAGACCCTTTGCAGTTCATGCCATTTGTGCAGTGGCGGATCCAGGGCGACATCCACACCCCATCCACAAAAGGAACAAAAGCAATTTTTTTAACAACCAGAAAGAGGCATTTTTCTTTAACTTCCGTTCCTCCCCCAAACGTATTCAGGCTCTAACTTTTAGCCTGACCCCTCAGAAAGACCATAAAGTTACTGAAAAGAATGTCAATTTCTTTCGTTCTTTTCCGCCCCAATCATTTCCACCTTCATTCTGCAGAGCACAGACGTTACAACCACTGACAAGCATTTTCAGTGATTTTAATTAGCAATTTAGTAAATAAGCAATTGAAAGAAACTGCATTGTTGATGCAATTATGTGATGCCCTTTTGCATCCAAGCATAGTTGTTATATAGAAAAGGGCAGGAAATCATTTGGCACACAGCCCGAGTTAGGCCATATCCCCAATCGACTGGTTGTGACTGAGAATAACTAATATAGGAAGTGGCTGAAGCCGCTGCAGCCGGGTTCATTAAGTTATAAAAAGCCGCAGCCATAACTTTCGGATGAGCCTCATTCCAAGTTGTATGCCCGGGCCGGTACGTACCGGGTTGTTATTGTAATTGTGGGTTGTCGTGACGAGTGATGCGCTGATCGTACAGTAGTGTAGTACTCTCCGTCGTGGTTATGCCATGGTGGTAGTTTTCTCATTTTATGTTTCTACGTCGTGGTGAAGTAAATGTTCAAATCATACTATAATAGTGTTGTTAGTAGTGCAAGGAGTGCAAGGTGGAGCCCTTGGTCTCTTTTACAGCCGCAGAAAGTAAGGGAAATTGTCTTCTTTATAGTAATGTAATCGCGGCCGATGCGGTTTGTTCTAGGATTGTCAGTGATTGTACTGTACATGTTAATCGAGTTGTCACAGGCCTAAACCTGTAAGACGTCTTATTTCGACATAAGACGATTGTCTCGGCATGCTCAATTGATACTCCCTAAGCTGTGGACGACGAACCCCACAATTCGGGGGTACTCAGTCGACAGTCGATATATAGGCCTAGATCCTGATTAGTTTCTCAAGCGTCTTGAATACAAGGCAATGGTCAGTGAGGCCTTTACCTACCCTGCCCCCAGAACTGAGTGCAGCAAACAACAAATTGGCCTATGACGAACCACACAGTCATGACAGTTCTGGGTGTGTAGCTTTCGTGGCTTTAAGGCTTGGACAGAGCGGATGCCACTTGACAGCCCGTACACAAACCTATGAAACTGGTCTGAAAAATTTTGTTTTCTAAGTAAACGACTTGTAATGGTTTTTCCCCTCCATGTATTGCTTTCTGAAGGCTAATGGGTCACTGTAGGGAATAAGTACTGGCGACCGTGTACGGAACTCTTCCCTAACGTTTTATACCCTGACAATATTTCCAAAGCTGCAGGTGAAAACCTAGCCCCACACGTAGGGCTGTAGTGGCTCTCTTTTACAATCTGTCTCTTTTCTGTCACCACCACAGCCCTACTTCAAGGCATGTCTTAAATGCCTGAAATCCAAACTGCAGGATTGTCACAAACTTTGAATGAGAATGAATCAACAAATTTACTTTAATACACCGGCGTATTCTTCAGAGTTTGGACTTTTATATAAGCACCCTAAAGCTTGCTAAAACCGTATATTTTCTGATGTATGGCACCTTGAAAACCGGGCTTGTGGCATTTATGTGCTGACCATGGGCGGCACCATTTTAAAAAACGAAAGCAGTCCTTCTTGTGTCGGATTTCAAGGCACCCAACAGGCGCTCTGGTATAGGTTTTACCATACAAAACTGGTTCCCCATCACACCTTGCGTGAGAGACGAACAAGGAACCCGTGAAATTAAATTTGAATAACATTAATATGCTTGTAACTGTATCACGCTCCACACACGTGCTGTGGGCGTACTATACACTAGTAAAGTGTATGCACAACTTATTACTAAGCAATACTGTAACAACATGAATTATGTATCTACGGCACTTGTCGGATGGCTTGGCTTCCCAACGCAAGAAGCGCTGCTTTTGTTTTCCAAAATGGCGCCGCCCATGGTCAGCATATAAATATCACAGGCCCGGTTTTTCAAGGCGCCATTCATATATGGTTTGGGAAAGCTTATGGTGCTCATATAAAAGTCCAAACTCTGAGGATTATGCTGGTGTAATTAAAATTGTCAATTCATTCTCATTTTGGAAGATATTAGGATTCAAAGTTTGTGACAATCCTGCACTGAGGCATTTAAGACATGTCTTGAAGTAGGGCTGTGGTGGTGACAGATAAGAGACAGATCGTAAAAGGGAGCCACTACAGCCCTATGTGTGGGGCTAGGTAAAACCTTACAATTCTGGAATTACACGCTACCGTACATACATGTATGCCCTGACAAATGATCTTACTTAGCCTGCTGTTAGTCAGGATCCATAGGCCTATCAGTATTTACATTATCATCACAACTTGGACTTTGTATTCTCAAGATTGAATTCAGACCTAGTGTAATTTCAAAGTTAAGGCTTACTTCCCTTAAAAACCTTCCTAGTCCAGAGCCATGAATTAGAATTTTGAAAAGACAGAAGTATCCTATTAGATGTAGGAACTGACAAAGAACATCAGATAAGAATTCCGTATATGGACATCACTTGATCATATTCACTTGCAGTGATAACATGTCCTAAAATGTCAAATTTTGAAAGGAAAATGTTGAAGCATTTACTTAGAAAACACAAAAAAGTTTCCAGGCCAGTCCCATACGTGTAGGTTTGTGCACAGGGTGATATCTGTTTATGGAACTCTTTCCGAACATCCTTTTGACTTTTTGGAGGAGAAAAATAAATAAAAAAGGGAGCTCCAGGTGGTTCAACCCCAGCACAGCACATTGGCCTTTCTGTGATTCTGGGGGATTTACTGCACTAGGCTGTGTGGTCACTCTGTTTTATATGAACTTGATCAACTCATAAGAAGAGATACATACAGGTGTAACTTAGTTGCTCAGTTATCAAGCGATCTGTCGAGCAAATAAAATAAAATAAATAAATATATATGGACCCTCTGATGGTGAAATTGAAAGGAAACTGGAAATTGTTTATTTATATTCAAGACTTATTTGTGGGCATCGTGTCAGCTTTATTAAGGAAAAAATGCAGAACTGGTTAACAACAATTTTTTTTTTACTTATACTTCAATCTTTGTTCACAACTGGGTATTTTACTGTTAGGTTTTGTTTCTTGATCATACATGAATCACTAGGTTTCCAGAAGCATCCCTGTGACAATGACATCACAAGGAATTGATCAAGATGATATTCCAATGCCTCTTCTACAGAAGTTCAAAACTTCTGGTCATCCGTTGTATGCTGTAAGAAAAAACAGAGGTAAGCTGGCAACTTGTTGGCTTTTTTCATTTCAAGAATTTGCGAGATGATCCATCATGTTTAATGTCACATTTCTGATAAGACCCCCAGGAATTGAAACTCTGAGATTTTGTAGACAAGGACTTGCTTGTAGTTTTTGCCCACCAAGAACTAATCGGAACCACAAGAGGACACTCCTGGTCCAGGTTTAACTCTTCAGTCAGGGGTGTGAAAATTCAGCTTTTCAGCTCATTTCAGCTGTTTCTGTTAGAATTCCACTCGAATTTTCATTTTTTGTGTGTCCCTTTCCTATGTAAAATTATGTAAACTTTTTAAATTTCAGCCTTTTTGCTAGCTGTTATGAGCTACATATACTTTTAGCATGACTCCCCTGTCTATTTTTTTTTCTCAGAGGAGTACCTGCGCAAGTCATTGGAGGAAAAGGCCAAGGAGGCAAGATGGAAACTTTCTACAGTCACCAGTGTAGAGGATATACCCACCTGGCCTGACTATGCAACCCAGAATGAGTTAGAGAGACAACCAGCTAAGAGTAAGATTTGAATTGCAAATGTAAACAAATGTGTTAAGAGGAAAAAATGACATTCACACCATGCCACACCTTATTGTATGAATTTTGTGACACGTTTCATGAAAGTGTGCAATGTGTGAGACAAATAATAGGTACTGTATCTTTGTCTTGTACCTGTGAATTTTTTTTCACCTGAGTTATTAAAATATGAAACACGTGGAGTGTTCTGATTTTTGTAAAATTGAGGATCATCTAGCTGCGCAACTAACTTGTTCTGTGAGTCCTGCCCATTGCATAAAGGTATGCACTCTATCATGAAACATCATGGAAAGTGTAATCAGACTACATCAGTAAGAGAGTCAAAACCTATGATGTGGAGTGTAATGTAATTGTGGCTCTTTACCCCCGGCCACTGTAATATTTGAACGTTGATTTGTAATTAATTTGATTCGATTTGATTTGATTTGTAAAAGTGTGTATTTGATTTGATTTGTAAAAGTGTGTACATTTACTAAGAACCAGAGTGGTTTGTGCTTGAGGCTTTGCGAGGAAGACACAAGAAGTTACAAGGACGCTTTGTTTCAATCCCCTATTCACCTTTCCCTGTTGGTTGGTAAGCAGACATACATGTACAGGTATACATGTATGTACATGTCGTGCATGCTGTCCTGTGGACAAAATGCATCGCTAACTGAATTAGCATGATGTCTTTTTATTTCCAGCAGAGCCTGTGTGATTTGGAAATTAAAGAAAGATCATTTCCTGCATTGTAACACTAGGATTGTAAGAGATGGTGACTCATAGTACCAGCAATTAACACCAACTTTGATAAACCCATCCAGTTTTCCGAATGAGTGTGATACATGTAGTTAGTTGGCCAGACTTCCTTTGGGGTAAACGCTCATTGCTGGTAGAAACTTTACCTTGTGGATAACACAATTGGGTGCAAATCAATCTAATGATTGCTTTCTTGACACTTGACAACTTTTAATTTATGCCCATGGTCAAGACTGCTGGTACAGGTTGATCCCATTTGTACCAAATCGTTTGTAACAAATGTAATAGATTATGCGTAGTGCATACTGTTTCAGTGTTCCAGATGCCAAATTTTCAATAACAGCCAAATTTAGGGGGATTCTCTTTCCTTGTTGTCAGTTAAACTTAAGCCAGAGTTTATAAATTTCACTATTTGGAGACAATGGCATCTGTCAGCGGGAACCCTACTGTATCATGACATGACATAAAATGACATCAGAATTGCTCTTGCAAGAATTCTATACCTTGGTGTTGGTCGTATCAGCTGTTTTTAACAGCCTGGAATCCCTTTGAAATAAACCTAAAGAATGTGATTTTTGTCATTAAAAAATATGAATTTCTCCCTTCTTTTGTATGCATTTTGCATCCATCGACTGCACCGTACAATCAATCACATGCATGACTGTGCTTCACAAAATAGAGGAAAGGGGAAAATAAATAGGATAGAGGAAGAAACTGTCACCTCATTTTAAGATGAAATACATGTCTTGCCAGTGCGACAGGCGATGACTGGTAGCTTCTATCAATCACAATGTTCTGAACATAATGGATTGCAATGCAGATGCATTCACTTTTTTTCCCCCCACTCTGCCTTTCGGCTTGTAGGCTGAAACACGAGTTTGAAAGTTTCAGGCAAGAATAGTCCTTGTCCATGCTGGGATGTTACTGGGAAATCCATTGCTCATCATTGTGAGACATTCTTTGTTTGTAATGCAGAGTCCAAGGGACTTGGCCTGGGGAGTAAGGTGTCCATATGGCAAGGAGATATAACCAAATTGGATGTGGATGCCATAGTCAATGCTGCCAACAGGTCCCTTCTGGGCGGCGGTGGAGGTTTGTTTTGTTATAGATCGATCCAAGCACAGTAATAGCAAAAGCCCTGTGTCAGCAATCATACAAAGTGACTGACCCTTGATGTTTTGTCAACAGTAACTTGTACATATGTACAACCCTCCTGCCATTAATGAGGAGCTTTTTGAGTAGGCAGTGCTCTTGGTGCTGGAATTAGATTTGAGAATACTCAGTAGTCAACCAAACCAATCAGAATTCAACAGTATTGACCCTGTTATGTACTGTTCCTAGTATGTAGCCCGTTGGAGTTTGTCAGGTTTGGTCCTTTTACTACATTGACTACTTAGTAGCAGTTGGAGTTTGTTGGGGTTCAGTACTGCTTTTTGGTGCAAGGGCCTAGGGAGTTATGATGTCCTTTTTCCTTGAAGTGTATTCATCAGGATAATGATATATTGGTCACCGATACATCAGGAGACTTTTATTTGGAGACCTATTTTTTTTTCTAACTACATGCTCTTCGTTTTACATTGTTTTTGTTTTGATTGGGGATGTTAATAATGCCAAGAAGAAAAAGACGAGTCTTTAGTCTGGATGTGTCTTGCCCAAGTTGCCTCCCGACTTTGTGAGAGATGGTTTTTGTACTTTATTGCAAGCTTGTATGCTTTTGTTCCTTTATCTACTCCCTAACGGGAAAGAAAAGAAAATCATTTCATTTGAGTGCCCATTGAAATTCGGGGGCAATTTATTTACATCACAAATTAGATACTGGGCATGCTCGGCATGTCCTATGCTAGACGTGCATTAACTTCTGCATATGAGTGGTGATTTCCCACCAAACGACCACCGTTGCTGTGTGAAAGCACACCCATCTCTTGTTCCCACATGGAGTGGATTTACATGTACATGTGCACTGGGCATTCCAGTGTTGTTTAGGGAGCACTGTGGAGATAACACTGCATTTTGGTTTTAAACAAGGGTGGAATGGAAACACGCACCCCCAAGAATCTCCCCCCCACAAAAAATCAGCAATTTACAAGATATTCTTAGGATAGAGATTAAGGTACAAGTTGATCATTCAGAAAATTACTGCCAGTCATTCTTGACTGGAGAATGTTTTTTTTGCCTTTGAACAGTTGATGGTGCCATCCACAGGATGGCAGGGAATAAACTGCTGCAGGAATGTAAGATTTTAGACGGATGTGATACAGGGGATGCCAAGATATCTGCAGGTATAGTCACACCATCCTTCTTGAGGTTTTCTCTCGCCTCTACTTATGATCATGCCTACCCCTTTCTCCCTCCCCTCAAGATTTGTTCCAAAAGCTACTGGGAAGGTTCAGAGGACTTTGCAGGATTGGGGGAGAATCTCGGATGATGTGCAAAGAATGTATCAGTAGTTTCCTGTACATTGTACTGTGGCAGATTTTGAGGCTGGAAAGGTACTGAGCAAAATTGCCTTTTGTAAGTTGCAGTTGGCTATTAATACAGCTGTAGCCCTGCAAAGTCATTTGACAGGTTGGTCCTGCTGGGTGTTGCTGACCTGACCTGGAATTAGCCACTGTCACCAGGCTTGCAATTTTGCCATGGCCAGTTAAATTAAGCTGACTTCATGGAAGGTAACAGAAGGTATTTATATCAAAAGAGCATTAACTTTTTCATCGTAGATATACTGTTGAACATCGGGCCAGGTAGCAGGAATATACAAGGACAAGCAAAAATGATATAAATTTTTCTCTCGCAGTGTTTGTTCAGTGAACACCCTAAATGTCCTTTCATCTCCCGTAGATGCACACTAATCTCGACCATGGTTATCTGCAGCCTGGCTACCTTTGCTTCCATACGCTGCCGATCCTTTCATATTTTAATGTGCCCTTTTTTCAACTTTTTTTCTGTGGTTTTCTTTCTTCTCAGGATATCTGCTTCCAGCAAGATGTAAGTACAAATGGTGACGTGGTTGTTGATGGATAGTTTGATATGAGATTGATCCAGTATCGTGTAATTAAGTCCGTTATTTTTCTTCCTCTTGTTGCATTTATTTAGTTGAGGTAAGTTTACATTTACCAAGATGGAATTTGACTCACAGGCAAAATGACTTAGTACTGGAACACTCGCTTTTCCCATGGTGCTTAGAAGCAGCGTTATAGTTGAGTCCATCACAAGTCCGTTAACAAGACCAGTCATAAGCGACGGGGCGAACAATGACAAAAGAATGCTTACGTCACAGTCATTTGAATAGTTTGTGAGTTGGCTTAGGATTGGACGACTTGTGATGGACTTGGATGGACTGTCCAAACATGCCAAAAGTGCCTGACTTTTTGCCAAATTAGGCCATACATGTACATTAATTAACGTTACTTAACCCTAACCCTCCTCAATCCTTCACCTGTTGGAGGATTGAGGAGGGTTAGGGTTAAACTGATAAAAGTTTCAAAGAGTCAATGGGCTTGCTTACAACCAGAAGTTGTAATAGCTTAAATTATCCAGACTGTAGTCGTGCTTGAGGAATAATTGACTCTTCATTCCAGTGGGTCCAGAGTTTGTATTTTTTAAATTTCAGATGTCATCCACACTGTTGGGCCCATTGTTCGGTCTTGCGGCAGAGACGGTGTGCCCAAGGAATCAAGACAGTTCCTGGAGAGCTGCTACTTGACCTGCCTGGAGAAGGCCCAGCAGCACAACAACAAACAGAGACAGAGGCAGGAGAACCTGGCCAGACTGGAGATGAAGGCGGCAAACTCCACCCAGACCAAAGAAGAAGGGGAAGAAGAAGAGGGATGCAGAGGAGCAGAAGCAGAAAAGGGAGAAGCGGAAAAGGAAAGAAAGGCTGTAGAGATGAGCACCAAAGGAGATGAACGCCTCAAGGAGGAAAGACAGGGCGGCGTCCCTGATGAGAGTGATGGAGCAAAGGTGAGGAAACATGAGCAGAAGGACGAAGGGCAGGGGGACGTTGAAGATGGTAACGCAACCAGCCCAAAAGCTACAGAGACAGACACTGAGAAAGAAGCCACTAAAGTCATTGACAAAGATGGAGGGGATGTGTCGAGGAGGGAAGGAGTAGGTGTTGGAGCGGAGAGTAGGAATGTTGAAGAGTCCCAACCCACGAGACATCCTGAGGAGGCGGCCGTAGAAAGCAGGGGTGCGCTAGAGTCTAAACCTGAGAGGCATCTCCAAGAGGCTGCAATAGTTCCTCCTGAGCCTCTCATTCAGTCCATTGCCTTTCCTTGCATATCAACTGGAATTTTTGGTAAGTTCATCTCAATTTAACATGCCCCAAGTTTCTTTAAATCAAGATGTGTTGGGAAAATGTGCCAAGGGGCTTTGAGAAAAATAATTCTTTATCCATGATTTTCATGGAATCGTCTTTCTTTATCACTGCTTGGTTTTTAGCTGTAGAGATTCTGAAGTGTTTTGAACTGTTGTGATACAGGAATTTTGAAATGATTAATTTAACATGATAACTCATAAATTGTACATCAAATAAAGTTTGGTTTTGCATCAAAGCATAAAAGTGAATGGTCTTGAATTGTAAACAACTTGAAGTTGGAATTTCAGTCACCAAGTACAAAATTTTTACAATCCTTAGCATTTTCCAATAGGGTTGAGTCAATTTGAAAAATTCACTGTTCCAATATTCAACCTTCATTTTTGAAGGTCTGAATATTCTATTGTACCGACTGGAAGATTATTGATGAACAAGCCAATTGTACATTATAATCGCTATAATAGCTACTCACTTCTAGGACTATCTCCAGGCACGATTTAGCAAGATTTAATTTGTTCCCTTTAAATTTTTTGAATGAATAATTTACTTTTTGAGTCATAAGATATATTATTCTGTTTCTTTTCATTTAAATCTACTTGAAACAAGCCTCCACAGTGCGGTTTTTCTCATTTAAAACAAAAGAACATTTTCCCTTTTCATGAATTTTACATTTGAATATTTAAATTCAGTAAAAATCATATTCGGTAAACCGATCGAATATTTGGATATTAGGATTTTCGGTACAGCCCTATTTTCCAAGTCCTAAATTTTAAACTTGATGGGGACTGAAAATAAAAATTTCAATAGAGGAGTGAGGGGCAAAGCCTTAGTATGGGGTTTAGGACCCACTTCGGACCTGCCTATATTTAGTTCAGGCCTTGTTCAAGCCTGGGCTTCTAAGAGGTGTATGTAGATTTATTTTCATAGAAATTGAAAGCAATTTTACTCTTTCAAGAACAGCTTTTTTTTTAAAGATATTGTTGAGTAATATGAAATGCTCAAGAATGTACAAATAGCTCCCAAGATGTTAAACTTGTTGGCTACTTTTCAAACTTGATGGTGGTTGATGAGGAAAACCCAATAGGCCACTGGGCTACATGTACTTCTGTGGAGTATGGGAGATGTCATTTGAACTGGAAAGTGTAGTGCAAACAAATGGAGTACGCAAGTGCGTTGGTTCATGCACTGGTTCTCGTGCTAATACCTTTGTGCACATGACATACAGGGTCTGCTCTTTTGACACCGTTGTCATGTTTTTCCTACAAGGGGCTGCCAAAGCTAAGTTGGCTGTCCGTGCAAAAGAGAATAATTTACAAAGTGTCTGTAAACCCCACACAGCTACCAGAACATCAAAAGATAACACACGAACTACTAAATACTAAATGAAAATGCACCCCTTTGTAAAATTAATGGGACAAATGTCCATTTTGAATGAATTTGACGTGAAGTGGAAAACCAACCTAAAGGTGATATTTCAGCAAACTTTGGCCGCCGATACAAGTTGTAGGCAAAACGAGAGTGGTGTCTTCACTATGGTACTCTCTAGGTTGGAGTACACGGATCCTCTTCATCCTGAACTGTTTGTGAAACTGTGTTGATTCCATTCTGTAGGTTACCCACAAGAGGATGCGGCCCACGTGGCTCTAGAAACTGTCCAGAAATGGTTGGAAACCAATGATAAAAGTGATGTGAGTGACTTTGTTTTGTTCCCTTAGTCCTGCAGTTGGCAGACACCCCGAAACAGAGGGGGGAATGGGGATTTGCCTTATTGATAGGATATGGGGAGTTATAATGAATAAAAGATAAGTAAATAAAAACAAATAAAAAGGGAAATGGATCAGTCTTGACGTTTTTGGTCCAAAACGTTTGACACCCTGAAAGAGCCTACATTATGATACATACATCTCATCTGAATTTGACTTTGTGTCAAGAATTGTTTATGTAGCCTTATAAAAGCTTACAGGGCTATCACAGGATATAGTGTCTCGGGTTTTGTTTGACACAAAGGTCAGAGGCTAAAGACTGCTCCCGAAGTTTGTGTATGACATAAAAAGCCAGTGGCTA